TATATCTCGTGCAAGATATAATAAACAAAGTAAACCCGAGTGTTGGTTTTCAATAATAATTTTATAATCGGATGTAGGTATGTCAAAATACAGTCAGAATTATGCTAACCTCAATAGGTGTTAACAAACGAAGACCTTTTTTCTGTCCGCTGTGGTCGTACTTAATCGGTAACCAGTCCGTCCATTATCGTGAATGGGGAAGTTGGGTTATATCATCACAACACCTCCCCCCGAAGCTGAAATTCTCCCTTTTGAAAATTTCTGCTTCTAATGTAGTCTTTTTGGATCCGGACTAAAACGATCCACTGGTTTTCTTTCCCGTGTGCTCCTTCTTTTAGTCGTCACAATTAAATCCTTTTTTGGCGAAGATAATTTCCGCTTTTCAGCCCGTAAGGCTGGTCCATGCAATACAAGTTCAAATACACTATTTGGTAGTGTCATGTTAAAAGCATCGCATAACACTTCCATCGGAATTTCTTCTTCGCTTTTTTCACTTTCTTCACCATATCGTGGTCTAATCTGATTGATGTGTCTTTTACACGTAAATTTTTTACTTTTAATCATGTAGACCACTTTACCAATCCTTTTCTGGATTATGCCATCCATCCAATAGCTTTTTCCACTTTTAAAATTTTTGAAAAAAACTTTGTCTCCTGAAGTGTATTTTTTTTATGTTGACTTTTTCCTCTTTCTTAGCAACTTTTTGTTTTGATATGGTAACAATCTATCGAAAATTGATCTAATTTTCCTTGCGAACATAATTTCCGCCGGTGACATTTTCGCATCGTTGTTCTCATTAGGAGTTACCCTATAGATTGCTAAGAACTTCTGAATAGTTCTTTCTTCCGTGTCCATACCTTTATTTTACGTAAAGCACGTTTAAAGGTGTCAACAAATTTCTCAACTTGACCGTTCGACCTGGGACGACACACTGGTGTAGTTATGTGTTCAATGTCTAAGGCAGTACAGAAATCCTTAAACTCCATACTTGTGAACGCCGTACCATTGTCGCTAAACAATGTCCTGGGAACCCCGAAACGACTGAAAATTTCATCAATGCATTGATGGTGTTCCTAGATGTAGGATGCTTGCACTTGACTACCTCAGGCCATTTCGATAAAGAGTCCACCAATATCAAATAATAGTACCCATTAATTGGTCCAGCATAGTCTATATGTAGACGTGCCCACGGCAAATCCGTTTTCGGCCAAGGATTCATTTTGACCGGAGGTGCCCTTGCAGCCAATTGACAACCTCTACAGTCTTACAAAACCTTCAATATCCTTGTCCATTCCTGGCCAGTATACGTAACCACGCATGAGTGATTTCATCCGAGACATTCCAGGATGACCGGTATGAAATTCTTTCAGCATATCTGTACGTAGAGATTGAGGTATAACAATTTTATCTGCGTACATCAACGTGTTGTCGCAAATTGAAAAAGGTGAAATCTGAGTTCCCTTTTTCTGTCTTTTGTTCCTTCTCGTCTGGTTCCTTAATTTCACAATATAGTGATCTTTTTCCGCTTCTTTTTTTATTTGGTCCAAAGTTACCGGCAATTTCCTGATTGTATTCAACAGGAGACCTGATATTTCTTTTTCCTCAGTTAATGCTGCTATAACCGTCTCTTCTAAAATTTCATTTTTTGGAATCAGCCTTGACAATCCATCCGCATGCCCATGTTCTTTAGATTTGATGTATTCCATCCTAAAATGGTAATTAAGCAGGGTTACACCCCATCGCCGTAAGCGATTAGCTGTATGCGTAGGAATGCCTTTTTTACCTCCAAATATTGTAAGTAACGGTTTATGGTTCGTTTGAAGTACAAATGATCTACCATGTAAAAAACGATGGTATTTTTTAACCCCGAACACAATCGACAAAGCCTCTTTCTCGATCTGGCTATAATTTTTTTCAGCCGGAAGAAGAGTCCTCAACGCGTGCGCGATCGGTTTAGTAGTGCCATCTTCATATTTGTGTAGCAGTGCAGCACCCACTCCGTACAAACTTGCGTCAGTTGCCAAAATGATCTCTTTCTCGGGATCATAATGTGCTAAGGCGAGATCTGAGAGTAGGCATTTTTTTATTTTCTGAAAAGCCGTCTCGCAATCTTTTGACCAGAATCATTTCTTGTCTTTTTTCAACAATTCGTTAAGGGGGGCTCTTAAATCATACATTTTAGGTATGTAGATCGCATAATATTGTGCCAACCCCAGAAACGATTGTAGTTTCGCAACTGTGTCGGGTGCAGACATGTTCTTAATTGCATCGGCTCTCTGTGGGTCCGGTTTCCTGCCTTCACTGTCTATTATCTGTCCGAGGTATGTAATTCTTTCCATGAAGAATTTACACTTCTCGTGGCTTAATTTAAAGCCAAAATCTTCTAGTCTTTTGAATATCGCTCTGATGTGCGTTTTATGTTCTTGAACATCCTTACTTTTAACTAGAAGGTCATCTAAATAGGCGGTACCAAACTCAAGGCCTGCCAGCATAGTGTCCATCACCTGTTGAAACAAAGCTGGGGCGACCTTTAAGCCGAAAGGAAGCCTATTTAGCTTATAAATACCTTTGTGTATTTATACACAAATATTTTGAGCATTCGTCACTTACTTTAATCTGCAAGTATGCGTCAGACAGGTTGATTTTTGAAAAAATCTTCCCACCATTCAATTTTGAAAAAATATCTTCTGGTGAAGGTAGTGGATAACTGATTTTTAAGGCAATCATTTAACCCTGTTGAAAAATCTGCGCACACTCTTATTTTTCCGTTTTTCTTCTTAACATAAACTGTGGGCGAGGCCCAATCCGCATGGTCAACCTTAGATATCACTCCCATTTTTTCAAGCCTTTCCAATTCCTTATTAATTGTGTCTAAGGAGGAAAAAGGAACGTTTCTCTTAGGCTTAAAAATTGGTTTCACATTTTCCTTGAGTTCAAATTTGACTTCCATCTTAGTACATAAACCCAATCCCTCAGAAAAAACTCTGGGATATTCTTTTAATTCATTCATGAATTTTTCATTTTTAATACTTTTGTTTTTCTGCACTGTTTATTACGTTGCAAAATGAGTTAATCGGGAGTTCAAACAAATCAAAGAGTACTATCCAGTCTATTCCAAAAAGACATGAATTAATCCCTTGGATTACATACACTTTCGTTTTTGCAGTCTTGCCACATAACGAAATATCGCACTTTAATTCTCCCTTAAAGTTTAATTTCTTTCCTGAAACCCCTCTAGCGGTTTTTTTGGTTTCAGATAATTTAGGTCTTCCAATATTTTTCCATGTTTGTTCATCAATGATGCTTATGTCTGAACCAGAATCCAATAGGAAAGTAATTGTATGATTATTTATACGTACATCTACGTACTTTCTATTTTTACCTTTCTGAATTTCTTTTTCTGATGATACCATCTTGTAATTTCCTTTTCTTACGGCAAACTGAATATTTATGCCCTTTATTTCCACACGATTGACAGAATTTATTTTTGTACCAACACACGTCTTTGGTATGATTTTTATTTCCACACGATTGGCAGAATTTATTTTTGTACCAACACGTATCTTTGGTATGGTTATTTTTTTCCACACGCCTCACATTTTTCTATCCTTTTGGCTTTTGGAGTTTTTACGTGTCGAACATTAGTAACACTTTTCTCCTCAATTTGTGTATTATCCCTTTTTACGTTTATGAGACGTTGGCATTCTTCGGTCACCCTTTGTAATGTTATTTTCGAGTCTTGCTCGACCATTATTAATATTCTCGACCTAATTTCTTTATATTTATGACCAGTTAGTCCTTGAAGAAAAATTAGGCACTTGAATAAATCTTTGGTTATTTCTTCTAACTTGAATTGTTCAACCAGAGAGTTCACTGTTCCCGCGTATGTCACAAAATCCTCGTTATCTGCTTTAACGATGTTTAGCATCTGTATCGCATGTGGAACAGACTATTCCTTTCGTCAAATATTTTTGACAGAATACTTAGTTTCTTCAAACGAAACTTCTTCTGGCTTTCTGGGCAATATCAAGTTTGAGTACTTCCTATTCTCGTTTGTCCCTAGTTTCTGGACTAATAATGTTACTCGTTCATCATCCGACCAATGTTGACATCTCTTGGTAAATATAGTTTCAAAACGTTTAAAGTATGCTGAAAATGTAATGCCCGAATCAGGATCATAAATAAATTCGGATAATGAATTTGTTATTCCTTCGGCAGAAAAAACAGTATTTTTTCTTTCTCCAGTCGCCTGTTTCAGAATTTTTTCGAGACTTTTTTGCTGTTGCAATATTTGTTGTTGTAAGTCTTGGTACTGTTTTTGTTGCTGTTGTTGTAACTCTTGATGGTGTTGTTGTTGCTGTTGCAAGCTTGTACAGAGCATTTTAGTCATTTCGACTAATTGCTCCATCCTGACTTAATTTAGAATTCGGCAAAAAAAAAAAAAATTTTTTTTTTCAGGTAAGTACCTTGCACAATCCTCATCGCCAGCTGTTATATCTGGTGCAAGATATAATAAACAAAGTAAACCCGAGTGTTGGTTTTCAATAATAATTTTATAATCGGATGTAGGTATGTCAAAATACAGAGACAGTCAGAAGTATGCTAACCTCAATAGGTGTTAACAAACGAAGACCTTTTTTCTGTCCGCTGTGGTCGTACTTAATCGGCAACAAGTCCGTCCATTATCGTGAATGGGGAAGTCGGGTTATATCATCACAACAATAACTATGCAAGTGTTTTTTTTGGGTTTTTTTAATTCTAGTCTTCCTACATTTGACAGAATCAGTTTCAAGTCACTAAAGGTGATATCATTCAAACAATCAAAATGAAATTTTTATATGTATTTTTTTTTTTAAATACACTTCAATTCTGAAAAAAATTAAAATAAAATTTTAAATTTAAAAAAATTATGAACTTTTTTTTTTTTTTTTTTTTTTTTCAGATAATTAAGAATATCGATGTATTTATCCTTCATAAACTTTTTTATTTTTTGTTTTTAGGTCCAGCTATTCCAGAATGGTCTGTAAAACCTATTGATGAAAATACTTTGAATATTTCCTGGGGCCTCGGTTTTAACAGTTCCTTGATCAATGAAGGCTTGTTACACGTAATAGAGTACAGGAGACATGGTAAGTATGAACATTTGCCTTCAAAAATACTTCACAAGTTGTTTACAATGATTAGAAGTTGGTAGTTACCAATATTAACTTGGGAACTTTTATCTGAATTTCTGAGACAAGGTATTGTTACTATTATACATTGACTAACATTACCCATGAAAATAATATGGTTCTGCTATTCTAATTTTCTGATGAATCATAATTCTTAATTTAATAATTGAATAAACTCCTTGTGAGTTCCACAACTATTAATTACCTGCAGAAATTCCACTATTGCATTAAATATTTGAGGTTAAGAAAATACTGCAATGACAATCATAAGTATGAAGACATTATTAAATAAGTAAGTGTACAAATGAAAAGATACAGAATTGACAATTTCATTGTAACAGACGTTTGTTGCATGAGAGCATTATCACCTCCATTACCATTACTTTCTTTTTTATTTCTTTCTTGTGTGGTTTCTTTTCCCACTAAAATCAAACAGCGTTTCTGATATATCTTTTTCGGTCACATTTCCTTGCAATTAAAACAGAATGGCCCATTATTTATCTGAGACAATGGCAGGGCATATACATGTGCTAATTAGTTTAATAACACGCAGAAATATAATATGTTTTTTGGATTAATTTCTGAGGAAACTGGTCCCAAATAAATGATGTTTATAATAGCGTGCTTAGCAATATGCAGCACAATACCACACAACTGGTGCACCCAGTGAGGGTTATATTCACTCAGTGAGTTTGACTTGCTGTTAAGCTACAGGAAGTGATCTTACAATCCTGGTGGGGAGGTCATATTTATATATTTATGTTGTAATTTTTATTTTGCTTTGGATTTTTGAAATCGTCTTGTATTTTACGAAGTCACCAAACAAAACTATAAATTGTGCTTTTTTTTTTTTTTTTTTTTAGACTTCCTTCAACTATAAATAATGCAGAAAATATTTTTTTTAGAACAACAAAAATAGCATTCATTCATTTTTATGTGACTGGTGTAAATTTGTTCAATTACTTTTTACTAGCACACCTACCTGACATGGCCTGTTCTTTTTTTTTTTTATTTAAAAAAGAAAAATGTCAACTGTACTTTTGAAATGAGCTAACATTTCAGAATAGAAATCTCTACATGTAACTGTATTTGATGGCATATTTCCAAATAATGGCTCAAAACTATCTCTACTATGAAGAGTTGAGGTATCTGATAGGTTGATGTTTACCCAGATGCAAGCACTTGTAACTAGCCTCACTCCATAATACTGTTGTATTAAATATAAATAGGAGAGGTTTATATGCAAACAAGGTATCTGATTGGCTAATGCTTACCCAGATACTATAGACTACTTGTACCTAGCCTAACTCCATAATACTTTAATATTAAATGTAAATTTTTTCTATTAATCATTTCACTCTAAAGCAAGACAATATAACCACTAAGATGCAAGGAGTTACTGAGTGTGAAAGAATGAGAAAAAAGAAAAACAATAGGAGAGAGAACAATAAAAGAAGTTGGACGAGAGTTCCATAAGCGAGAAGTGCAAGAGAAGAAATTGTTAGCATAGAACTTATGTCTGTTCATTCCAAGCATGGTGATAATGCCACTAAGACATAAGATGTTACTGGGAATAAAAGAGATGATAAAACTTTAGGAGGAACTGGAAATGCAATCCTAAACAGGAAACGAGGGATAAACCTCTTTCTGTTTAAAAACTGGGGAGGGGTGTTGGTTACATCTAGCCGTATCAACTGAAAAATGATGAGATTCTGCCATCAACCTAGTATTGAACTTAAATTCATAAAGTTTAGATACCAAAGAGAAACGCTCATCAGAATAATTCTCATGAAAATATTTATAGAAAAGCCAGAGGGAAGCTACATTATAGTGGTGGGAAAGTAACTGAAGCCAGGATGCCAGATCAGGACCAATAACATTGCAAATTCTTCTTTGAATTTTGTCAAGAATCTTAAAATACATAGCAGAAGAACCAAACAAGATATTACTGAAATATTCAATGCATCGATGAATGGTAGACTTATAAATGTATGATATAGATGGTGAGAAAATTGTCTAGCACAACACAGTGAACCAACTTTCCTAGCAGCAAATCTAGCAATTGATTCAATATAATCTTTCTAATTCATATTAGTGGAAAATATTAACCCGAGAACACACAATTGGTCACTCTCCTGAAAGTTAGCATCAGCCATACTAATGGAAGGCAAAAACGTTCTCTCAGGCAATTAAGAGCAGTTTAATTTTGGAGATGTTAAGATTAACAAGCCATTTCTTACTCCAGTTAACAGATTGTAGATAATTTTTTTTAGATCAGTTTCAAATTTGACTTTATTTAATCAGTCAGACTTCTTATTAAGACAGGATTAAATAGTTGTATCATCAGCATAGATACGGAGTTAAGAACTGATGACATCAGGAAGATCATTGATGAAAATTAGAAACAATCTAGGATAGAGTCCTGAGGAGCACCAGCGTTAATGCAAAAAGATCTAGAATAATGGCCATTCAGGACTTTATTTCAGAATTTGATAAGATTGAATCAGATGAAAAACACATCTAGAAATACCATAACTTTTCAACTTGTGAAGAAGACCAATATGCCAAACCCTCAAATGCCTTTGAGATATCCAAAGCAACAGCCCAAGCTTCCCCTTTCTTATCTAAAACTTGATAGACTTTTCATCAAGAACTGTTAACACATTGACCAAGAGAAGTAAAAACCATATTGCTTGTCTGAAAGAAGAACCTGTGAAGAGAGATGCTTAACAATTCAGAGTTGATTAGAGATTTTAGTACGTTGCCAAAATCACATAGTTTGCCTGAGTTCTTAAAGACTGGAACTACAGATGTGGATTTCCAACAAACAAGCAAACAGGAGAGAAAAAAGCAGTAAGGCATTTATTGTTCAGTTTAGAGAGAACAGGAACCAGTTCAAAAGCACATATCTTAAGGACTTTTGCAGGTAAACCATCAGGTCTACATGCTTTGTGGGAATACAGATTAGATATGATAGCAGAAACCATGAATGGAGTTATATTCATATCATTCAATAGATACTCAATTCTAACTGGAAAGTCAGACAAAGATACTCCATATGAGTCAAGAGTAGAATTTGAAAAGTATTTACAAGCAAAACATTCTGCTTTATCAGCAGATGTTAACACCTCAAATTGAGAGAAGGGATAGAAGACTTACTCTTATTTAACACACAATTAAAGGGCCAGTGGTCATGAGAACCACACTTGTTAGAAGCTAAATGGTGTCTCATTCTGTCAGCAAAGACTTAGCCTCTTTGAAGACACAATTATTACAAACAGGCACAAAGAGGCATCTGTTGTGATTGGAACTATCATAATGATACAGCTGAAAAAAGTGATTCCAGTGGGCTATAGTGGCTGAGCAGACAGCTGTGAACAAAGAAGATTGTGATTTCACTTGGTGAGAGGAGGTTTATATGCAAAGAAGAGGTAGCTAATAAGTTGTTTATCTTGATGCCATAGACTACCAGTATTTGTACCTAGCCTCACTCCCATAATACTGAAATATTAAATGTAAATTGGGGAGGGAAGTTTTATATGCCATCAAATGTATTTCTCAGCTTCTTTAATTTTGGTAAAATTACAAAGAAGTCTTCAAAAATTTTTTAAAGTCTTTGTTTAGTCCTTCAGTGTTCAGAATATTTTTTTAAAAAAATGTATTTTATATTTTACACAATCATTAGAATTTTTTTTAACTTAAATTTTTAGTGTAATGTTATGCCTCCATTTGTCAGATACCGGTTAATATAAATTCTTTCTTTCTTTCAATAACAATTTAGCCAAGTCTCTGTATTTATCACACTTTGATAAAGAGTATTCATGTGTACCAGTCTGAAAACACTTTAAGAAATTAAACCTAGAAGTGATGGTCTCTGTATTTCTTCAATTTTCCTCGCATTCCAAAGATTTTTTACACTAAATCACTGACTTTATTTTGCATTTTGCTGTTACTGAGTGTATAAAAATAATTATCATTAATTAATTAAATATTGTTGCTGCATTTCATCTGGTGCTTCTGCTATGCATTTACAGATTTTTGATAAAATCCAAAGAATCTGCAGTGTTACTGGCATTGTGGTATCGGTCACTTTCCCTTTGTTATAACAGTTTCCCTGTGCCTTTTCTATAAATATTTTCATGGTAATTTTTCTAATGAACTTTCTTTTTTGGTACCTATATTTTATGAATTTAAGCACAGTACCAGATTGGCAGTTAGGTCTCATCATTTTACAGTTGAAATTGCAAGGTATAACCATAAGTTCTATGTTAACAGATTCTTCTCATGCAGTTCTCACATGTAGAGCTCTCTTCCATCTTCTTGCATTCCAGTTAATTTTGATCTTCAAAAGATTAAATGCAATATTAATTGTTATCTTCTGCCATCTTAATTCCTAGACTTTTATTGTTCTCATTCTTTAATAATTTTTTCTCATACATATTCTTTCAGACTCAGTAATCCCTTGCATCTTAGTGACTTTATTGCCTTGCTTTTTTAATACTTGCTGTCTGAATATGCCTATAATTTTATATGATAAAAATATATAATTTTAAAGTATGCTATATTTATGAGTTAGTGTTCAATATCAGGGATAGAGCATATGTAAATATATAAGTGGGCATTGAGGTCAGCACAGCAGAAACACTGTTTTATGCTTAGATACAATCTTCTGGCCAACAATTGTGTTTAAGCATGAAACAGACCGTCATCACTGGGCGTTGACCTCAATGTCCACTTATATAGCTTATCATTTAAATCTAAAATAATGCTCAGAACATAATATCTTGACTGCAAAGTTGAACAAACATACTTGCAAAAAAAGCAGTCTATCAAAAGGATGGCTTTCCTCTGGTCTCCGCTATTAATGTATACTCTCTATGTTGTATAATTCATATGCTCTTAACCTATTTTAGTCAATTTATATGGTGAGAACAAATGAAAGAAAATGCATTGTTTTTGCAGTTATTTCTTTATAATATGGTAAATAAATATTGCATTGCAGTTAGTTCAAATTTTTATAATCTTGTAAATCTAAAAATTATTCTAATAGTGTTTAATTCTTTCATCATCAATCCTCAAGAAAAAAATGTGAATGTGTAAATCCAGTTTCATATATTTGGATTTTATCAAAATTCAAAAAATGTTTTTAAAACAAAAATTACTGAAGGGAATATACAGTAATAGTGGTGTCATGAGAAAACCCATCCTTTTAACATGTTTTTTTTTACAGGTACATTTGTTAAACTTGGCCAAATATTTGAAGATACAATGCAAGCATAAGATACACAGGAACAAAGAATAAATAGTGAATATCTATGCAAAGAATACAACAGCATATGGGTGCACCTCCCAAAATCTAGATGACCAGAGTCTGGCAGATGATCTCTGATCTAGCTCTAACAGGTCAATGAGAGAATAACTAGCTTGTAACATTCAGTACCTCCAAAACTAAACTAGGAATGTTCTGTTTATATTTCTTTTTTTTTTCTTCAGTAAAATCAATGAGATATTGTAACTATTTAGACAGTTTGGACTGTTGTCTGCATATTTATTGCCATCTTTATTTTTCAGCTGTTCTACTCTCTGGCCTTCTCCAGATGATATATATTGGAATTTCAAATGTATATCACCTGAATTTTCATCTATAATGTTCTCTCAAGGAGGCTTCTTGCCTTGAACACCTGTTGAGACTAGTTCACTCCAGACCTCAAGTGAACTTGTATATACAATCAGGTGCTAAAGATACTTGAAAAGGGGTCACTTCCTTGTACTCCTTCAGTAAGTAACTGATTTTTCTGGCTATGCTCTATTTTTACAAGAGCCAGATCAGATAAAAAAACCTAACCTGCCTGCTGATTAGAGTTGCACTTGGTCCCTAAGGCTTCCTTCTGTTTTACCATCTTTGTTTTATATTAATGATCTGCCATACTCTTGTGAAAATCTATGCTGATGATACAACAATGTATAGATGCATCTCTAAAAATCTAGATGACCAGAGGCTGGTAACTGATTTCTACTCTGATCTAACAGCTTAATGGCAGAATAACTAGCTTGTAACATTCAATACTTCTATAACCAAGCTAGGAAACTTTCACCATTACTATGAAGAGCCTGAATTTTTACCTACTATGATGAACTGTCTTATTCTCAAGGAAGCTCATGACTTCTGATATGCTCTCTTTGTAATAGATACCTCCACTAATTTGGTATACATAAAGTTTAAAATGAATTTTTAATAATGAAAAAACTTTCTTGAAGCTTTCATTTTAGCTTTAATTGAAAGTTAAAAGATTTAAAATTTACTATTTCCAGTTAGATTTTTTTTTTTTTCTTCAGTAAAATTGATGAAAACGACCATTTTGACACATTTGTAAATGAAAGTTAATTTTTGATTTTAAAAACCTTGCAAAAATAAAATATATATTTCTGAAATGTTATCTGAGGAAAATTAACAAATTTAAAGTTAAATTAATCTGAGTTGAAACAAATATTATTTACATTATTCAGACTATTGTCTTCATCTTTGTCATATTACTTACTTATAGCATAAAATGTTATATACAAACATTTCTTAACCACAGGGTCTTATTTTCTGATGTGTTAATTGATTTATTGACAGCCAAATGACCATCAAATGTGTTTATAGTTAAGTATGGTGTAACAGAGGATAAAGTTCATACAGGTTTTTTTCCCTGTATGGAGGGATAACCCTTAAAACACATGACCTTTTAATGATAGATTTATCAGTTTAAGTATCTATACTTTGAAATTCTGCATGTACATCACATATACGAAAACAAATCAAAATACTTTTAAAAATAGTTGGAAGTCATCAGATTGTAATAAGCTTTATAATATATGATTAGTAAATATAGTTTTACTTAATAACAATATTTTCTAAGAGTTATCTCATTGAAAATTGTTATGATGTTGATTTGGGATTAATAAAGACAAACGCCAAATAACACGTAACAATAAAAAGGGGTTTATTCGGTTGGTAAGTAGGTACAGAAATCGCCAGAGTAGTCTATAACTAGCTCAGCCAAGAACTTCTCCGACTCTGTCTATCTTTTGACATGCCACTATTTAACGTCTTTCTTTGTAGACAAGTTCATCTTCAAGAGGGGTGGTAGGTTTCCTACACAACAAAAATGAATTTTAAAAGATTTTAAAATTTTACAAATTATTCAATTTAAAATTGTAAAAAAAATAAAAATCTTGTAAAAATTCATTTTTCATCAAAAATTTTTTTTCTTCGAACAATATTCTCTTTAATATATATTCTTCATAAAAGCAATTAAAAGCTTTTCTAATTAAATAATGTCTTAGTTTTATTGTGTTTTTATTTTTCAATTCAGAACAGATTTTCATTAAGATAGCTCACTTTTGAAAAATCGATGATGTAAATTCTTCAAAGAATTCTTCTTTTAACTAATATAGTCACTAAAAACTATCTCATTGAATTTCTCGAGTTTTCATATAAAGTGTGTGTGTGGGGGAGTGTAAAATAAGTAAAAAACCCTTTTTACTAAGATTTTCTAAAAAAAAGAAAAAGAAAAATTTCAAACATTATTTATGAATAAGTCCTGAAAATTTCATTAAAATCCAAGCATTATTTCATTTTTGTAAGCATTTCCAAATTAATGTGTCTGTCACAGCAAAAAGAGGTTAGCATTTGCTATGCTAAAAGTTAGTATAACCACTGATGTAGCAAAAACAAGTTTTTTAATCAAAATTTTAAATTTTTTAAAAAGGAATAAAAAATTTAATTAAATAATCGAAAATACTTTGATCATTCCTCTTAATAATAACATAAAGATTTTGATGATAAACTATGTTTTCATTATGTTTGGAGTATGTTTTCATCATGGTATGCTGATTTTTTAATGTTTCCGTGGATATACCTACTTTATAAGTACCAAGTCAGACTTAAAATGGAGTACTGCTGTTATATCTGGGCTGGAGCTTCCAGCCTTGGTTTAAAAGCATCTGTGCAGTCATGTGGGTGATGAATTATTTTCCACTCTCCAACCCCTTTTCCACAGGAACAAAACATCACAAGCCTCTCCTTATTACTATTTCCATAGCAAATGTTCTGATGAGCTACATTCCTTGGTTCCACCAATCCAGACATGCCAGGCCAACAGTGGGACAAATCATCACCATTTACTTCATATTCTATTAGTAAGAAGGAATTTCTATTCAGGCAGCCTCCTCCCAAGAACTGCAAACAAGTGTTCTTGAATTTCTGAGAAAATTGAATAAACTATTCAAAATAAACCTAATAACAGAAGGTGAATTGAGTCAAGTGTTCGAACATCTTAAAATGAACAAAACACCAGGTCATGACAATAAAACTGCAAAGATAGTAGAAAAACTCTTATGAAACCATGCAAACACCTTTGTAAAGGTGTTTGCATGGTAAAATTTCTTTTACAAGTAATTCAATAGGAATAGATAGGTTCATTTATTATCTAGTTCAAACTTCTCTCTCATCTTTTTAACGGGAGTAGAGGTTTATCCTCTGCTTCCTGTTCAGGATTGGGTTTCCAGTTCTTTCTAAATTCTACATCAACTTCATACTTCTAAACTCTGAAATTTATACTATTATTGGGCTTCCAGTTCCTTCTAAAGTTGTTTCCTTCTCTTTCACTTCCAGTAGCCCCTTGTATCTTAGTGGTATAATTATCTTCTTTGGGGGGAACTGATAAAAAAAAGGAAAAGAAGTGGAATTTTTCCAGAAAAAATAAAAATTGCTAAAATAATGACCTTGTTCAATATGGAGTTAAATCTGAACTAGGTAATTATCGACCTACTTCACATTTACCCCCCTTTTTTTTTTTTTTGAGTTCATCCTAATCAAAACAGTAAAGTCACTAAGACACAAAGGGTTACTGGGTGTGGAAAAATTAGAAAACAGAAACATTACTAAGGAGCAAGAAGAAAAGAGTAATCAGGAAGACAGTAGATTGCGATTGACATTGCATTCAAATTTTTGAAGATTAAACTTGGCTGGAAAGCATGGAGCCAGAAGAGTTCCACAACTGAGAAGTGCAAGAAAAGAAACTGCTAGCATAGAAGTTATGGTTACATCTAGCCAGCTCAAATGTAAATTGATGAGATCTTGATACTAGTATAGTACTGTGCTTAAATTAAAAAAGTCTAGGTTCCATAGTGAAGAGCCCGTCCAAACATTTACCATGAAAGTATTTATAGAAAAGGCAGAGAGAAGCAACCTTGTGGCAGTGAGAAAGTAGCTGAAGCCAAGCCACCAGACTCCTGAGAGGGTGCTTTCCCAACCACTACAATCAGGATTCCACTCACTAATTAAATGATTATGGGTTTAGAACTTATATATTTATCTTATATGTTACAGTTAGTGAAATCTACTTTGTGGAACAGACTTCTGTGATGGTTCTTTCCCAATAACTATAAGTGGCTCTTGACCTTTGTATTGGATGGTCAATTAGTTAAAAGAAAGATTTAGATTTGTTTCTATTTGATTTCTATATTTATATTTTTATTACATTTATCGTGATTTCTTTTTCAGGTGAAGATGACTTGATTGATACTATTGGTCAAACGGATCTGACATGGCAGGCCGTATCAAACCTTACAGCTGGAATATTGTATGAATTCAGAGTGGTCGCTATGGATGGAGACCTGCAAGCTGCAAGTGAATGGAAAGAAGTTATGCTCTCTCCTGGTCAGTTTTTCTTCTTTCCTTTTTTTGACAACATTGGGGAGTAATTGGCCATGGTTAAGTGTAATTGGCAAAGTTCTCAATAAACAATAACAGGAAGAAAAAGAACACGGCACAATAATACTAAGCAAACAATATATATGCAAGTCAAAACTAGGCAAAGCAGCCATAATAAGGCAAAAAGTTCACAAAGTAAAAATTATGTTCATGCAAAAGGGATACAGTCAGGAGATTATAATAGCCAGATTTCAAGACAAGAAAGAACAAAAATATATTGGATAAGTGGTCCATTTTTATCATTGAGTAAAAAGTTCTAGCATTTGTGATATTTGTCTATAAGTTTGGGCGAGGGATGTTCTTAGTGAATTGGAATGAACACACATTGACAAAGAAACTATCTTGTGATAAGTGAATTTCACCTTCTGCTCAATTATTAAAGTAAGATTATTAACAAATTAAATTAATTTTTTTTTTTTTTTCCTTTGAGATGAAATCATTGACGCACTTCCAATTAACTATTTCCTACTTTTTGTAAATTGTGCGACAAGATATAGTCAGGGAATTATCTAGCCCTGTTGCCAGAATATTTTGTGTTGGAGACTGATCTTTAAATCTGATTTAAGGCTGTAAGAATTTGCACACTAAAATTAGTTCACATAATTTTCACAGTAGTGCAGAATGGTTTTCTTGGGGTGAGGCATGCTTCTCTTGCTGGCAGGCCTGAAATTATCCATATATCTTTCTAATGAACAAGAATAGGCTTCTGTACAGAAGAAAATAACAGTGTGCCTTGAAGTCCCAAATGCTCTTTTGTCACATGCTGCTTTTGTGGAGAAAAAAAAAAAAAGAAAAGAAGCCTTTCTACTGGATGAGGTCAGTGAATATGCAAATTATTTTCACTCCTAGCCAATCAATGCACAAGCATTGTCAAGTTGAATGAACCTCCAAATCCATAAGTTGAGCAGACTGTTATAAAAACTGCTGTTTTTTTCCTGACAGGGGCTAGCAATAAACTGACTTTGAATGGCTGAGAGTGAATGAAGCAAACTTCACAATTTTTGGAGAAATTCTATTTGACCTATTTTTTTTAATTTTTTTTTATCATTTCACTTCAAGCAAGGCAGGAATTCTACTAGTACACAGGGGATTACAAGGAATGACAGTGAAAGAGAAGACTGAGAATAGGGAGGATTGAGGAGAAGACAAAAGATGAATGGGCTTCAAGAAGACAGAAGATTGATGTTGCAATTAAATTTTTGAAGATTGTAGTTATCAGGAAAGCAATGATACAGAAGTGAGTTCCACAGATGGGAGGTGTGAGAAAAGAAACTGTTGGAGTAGAAGTGGCAGTTGCATTTAGGTAATTCAACAGTGAGAGGTTGGGACCTAGATGTTAATTTAGTAGCATACTTAAATTCATGTAGTTGGTACAGCAATGATAAAAGCTTGTCAGAACAGTTGCCATGAAAATATCTCAAGATGTACATCAAAGCACCAGACCAGATATGGCAACAGTATTCAATGTATGGACAAATGGTTGATTCGTAAATGTGCAAGATGCATTTAGGTAATTCAACAGTGAGAGGTTGGGACCTAGATGTTAATTTAGTAGCATACTTAAATTCATGTAGTTGGTACAGCAATGATAAAAGCTTGTCAGAACAGTTGCCATGAAAATATCTCAAGATGTACATCAAAGCACCAGACCAGATATGGCAACAGTATTCAATGTATGGACAAATGGTTGATTCGTAAATGTGCAAGATGCATTTAGGTAATTCAACAGTGAGAGGTTGGGACCTAGATGTTAATTTAGTAGCATACTTAAATTCATGTAGTTGGTACAGCAATGATAAAAGCTTGTCAGAACAGTTGCCATGAAAATATCTCAAGATGTACATCAGAAGCACCAGACCAGATATGGCAACAGTATTCAATGTATGGACAAATGGTTGATTCGTAAATGTGCAAGATGCATTTAGGTAATTCAACAGTGAGAGGTTGGGACCTAGATGTTAATTTAGTAGCATACTTAAATTCATGTAGTTGGTACAGCAATGATAAAGCTTGTCAGAACAGTTGCCATGAAAATATCTCAAGATGTACATCAGAAGCACCAGACCAGATATGGCAACAGTATTCAATGTATGGACAAATGGTTGATTCGTAAATGTGCAAGATGGTTTCTAACAAGAAAAATTTTCTGTCATGGCTCAGTGACCCAACTTTTCTTGCAGTAGATAGAGCTATTGATTTGATGTAGTCGTTCCACTTCAAGTCAGCAGATAATGTTGCTCTACTGTAGTCTAACATCAGCAATGCTGATGGCAGGTAGAAAAAGTGCTCTATGGTCGTTAAATGAAAGCAGTTTTGTTTTGGAGGCATTAAAATTTACAAGCCAATTCTTGCCCCAGTTAACCACTGATTACAGGTCCTTTTCAAGAACAGCTTCTAGGTTTACTTTGTTAGATCTAACAGATTTGCTATTAAGACAGAAGTAAATAGAAGTGTCATCTGGTAGTTGGGAACTGATGACATCGGGGAGATCATTGATTAAGATCAGGAATGGTGTAGACCCCAGGATTTTTATAATGGTCTGTACTGCTTGGCTCAGAGACTGAACTCACTATTACTATGTCACCAAATTCACAAACCAATTTATTGTCAAGTGGATTAAAGCATTGCTTCATGAATTTGAGGATATAGTAATTGTGAGTTCAGTCCCTGGGCAGTGTAGTACAGATTCCATTGAAACAGAACAATCAATAATTGAGCAGTTCTCCTTTCTTTATGAGCCGTGTCCCCTCAGGATGTAGATGATCATGGCTCTCCACAATTTCCTGTCCCTTACAGCTTTAAAGAAAATTCTGTCTATTCTAAACCCTGTTCCATCATCCATTTTCTCAAGCTCGTCAAGTATGTTATGCATTATTTTCCTCTGTTGCTCTTGCTCTCAATCTCTCAGATTTCCCAAGCCCTCCTTCCTTATGTGTCCTTATGTTTTTTCCTGGTGTCAAGTATAAATTTTCTTTTTGTTTCCATTTTTCATGTTATCCTCAACATCTTTCTGTAAAACCACATTTCTGTTGCTTCAAGTCTCCTCTTCATCTTTGAGGAAATTTTCCAGATATATAAGAGTTCAGTAACTACTAAATAAGAATAAAATGAAATATCCCTAATATGTTGGAAATAATATAAATGTTATAATATAACATGTCGGTAATCCTAGTTCAATGTTTTAATGTATAAGAATGCAGAATGACAATTTCAGGCAGGAAATAATTAAGATAAAACAGTGGAAAAAAACCCTGTTAAACTAATTAACTGTTGTGGAGGATAAAGAAAGAAAGAAAGAACGAATTAAAAAATAATAATTAGAAAACATAAATTTAGTTTAAAGGAGGTTTAAGGGAGATTTGAAGCTGTAATAAACCATGTAAAAATCATTCATGATTGTCTTTTAGTGGCATAGTACTCATCTATGTTTTGCCATTCCTATAGGAATAAGGAGTGTCGGATTTACTAATAATTTTCCCAGACCATGTTCACTGACATGCATATTATGCTCTACAGGGATGCTGTAAAAACCAAATACAGTAGAACCTCAAAGTACAAGTGCACCATTATATGACCAACTTGCTTTACAAGCTGCCAATTGTGAGCATTTTTGTATCGTAGGACAAGCAAAAATTCGCAGTACAAGCAAGCATCATATACACAGAAGGAGTCGGTGACTGAGGTAAAGGGAAGCATTGCCAACTGATGTCATCTATTTCTAAGAAACAACATGATCAAAGACAAGGTGAAATGCATTTGTGAACACCTGATGTTCAGAACATTTATTAGTGTCTTTGGGCCTTGTCGTTGATGCAGGTGATGTTGATGAGCACAGAGAGGAGCTGACAACAGAGGAACTTCTACTTCAGGAGCATCAAAACATGGAGGAGGTAAAGGAACTAGCCAAGGAGGAAAGTATATTGGAGGTTTCTCCATAAGTGAGATCAAAGAAGTATTGGCAATATGGAAAAAAAGTGCATGACTTTGTGGAAAAAATACCACCCACAAAAATTAAAGTGGTGTGGCGGATTTGTTCAACGAAAATTGTGTTGACAATTTTCATGGCATTTTGAAATCAAGAACAAAACAGATTCCTATTGATATGTTTCTTAAAAAAAAAAAACCCTGCATGTGCCGAAAGCAACTCAAATTCCACAAAAGTCCTTAAGTTCTGAGTGAAAATGCCAGAAACTTTCTTATGAAACATTTGTAGTTTAATATAATAATAATATTTCTTTCATTCTATCTTATCGTGTTCTTATTACATGTGATTTTGTGATTTAATTTCTTGCTATTCATTTTCTTTTTTTTTAATTCTAAAATAGACATTTTGGATTTTTTGGGGAAACTGAAACAGATTAATTAATCTTCCATAAATTTCAATGGAGAAAAAATGTTTTGTAATACGTGTAATTTGCAATACAAGCTCAGCCTGGGAACTAATTAAACTCTTACTGCAAGATCCTACTGTACATAGTTTTATCATGTAATGCCATTTACACCTGACTGCCATCCTGCATTCCAATGGCAGTTGATTTCAACGGTTTACTCCTGGTTTCATTAGAGTTTTCCTTCTCAAAGATGGTCTGCCTTCATTATAGCTATGGAGTTCTATCTACCCCTCTGGTAAAATGTACTGGACTACAGCTTATGGTTTGTTAAGTTATGACTGCATATAAGTCTTATTATCCCCTAACTCATCTGAATAAAAAAAATTAAAGAAAATATTCAAGATAAAATATTAAAGAAAAACCAAAACCATTGGTGGGACCAATGGACAACTTGCCAAAAGACCTAAATACTCTTAAACAAGGTAAAAATTCTAGTAATAAGAAGGAAGGAAAAAGAAAAGCATTTATCTCCTCAGTAAAGTGCCCAATGCCTAGATTACCTAGACACAGCAAAAAGGTTTGACAACGTTAATTCCTATGAAAGGATGTCCCAAT